CAAATAAATAAATAATAATAAAAAATCTTTAAAAAAAATTAAATCTGGGTCTAGAAGTCACAAGAAGCGAAGTCAGAGATTCAAAGTGTGAGAGGAATTCACAGTGTGGGAGCTTTTCTGATCTGGCTTTGAAGATGGAGGAGGTCACCTCGAGGAGCTGAGAGCCCCCAGCTGACAACCAGGAAACAAGGAAAGCAGGACATCAGTACTACAACCAGAAGAACTGAATTCTGCCACAACCCCAAGGACCTACAAGAGCACTGTGAGCTCTAGAAGACAACTGCAGCCCAACACGCATTTGCAGCCACATGAGCCACTCATCCACAGTAGCTGAAATAAATGTGACTGTTTTAAGCCACTAAATTTATAGTAATCTATTACATAGTAAGTAGAAACCTAATACAAATTTCAGACTACTACAAAAGCTTTAGAACTTAATGATATTTTAGTTAAAAAGAATAGAAATTATGGATGAACCTCGGGGACAGTATGCTAAATCACAAACAGCCAGTCACAAAAAGACAAATGCTATACTCTTAATCCTGGGATTGTTGAGTTTGAGCCCCACGTTCCGTGTAGAGATTACTAAAAAAATAAACTTAAAAAAAAAAAAAGACAAATGCTACATGATGCTACTTATATGAGGTATTTAATGTAGACAAATTCATTGAATCAGAAAGTAGAATTGTGTTTGGGGGTGGAGGATAGAGGATGGGAAGTTGTTATTTAATGGACACAGAGTTTCAGTTTTGCAAGATGAAAAGGTCCTAGAGATCTGTTGCACAACAATGTAAATACACTTAATGTGTTTTTTACCACAACTGTAAAAGAATAGAAATTAGCATTTTCCCCGTTTGGTCAATAACATCAGGTTGTGATCCCGGGGTCCTGGGATCGAGCCTCGCCATCGGGATCCCTGCTCCTCGGGAAGCCTGCTTCGCCCTCTCCCACTCCCCCTGCTCGTGTTCCCTCTCTCCGTGTGTCTCTCTGTCAAATAAATAAAATCTTAAAAAAAAAAAAAAAAGATTTTATTTATTTGACAGAGACAGCAAGAGAGGGAACACGAGCAGGGGGAGTGGGAGAGGGAGAAGCAGGCTCCCGTGGAGCAGGGAGCCCGAT